AGTCCGAGTGCCGTTCTCTTTTCCCCCAGTTTTTGGCTTTGTTGCCTCTTCCTATAAAAACAAAACAAAACGTAACAAAAACCCAACTTCAGAAAACATCGTATTCCTACGCTTGGTCATTCAATCAATCAGTCAGGAAGACAACATATATTTACTGTATGCATCAGATCATAGGCATTACCCTGGGAGAAGCTGGCAATGGACATAAAAGACAGATTCTGCTCTATATTCTAGGGGAGGCAGAGACACATGAAAATGAATCAACACAGACAAGTATCATTCAACAGCTCTACACCTGAAGTGAACAGACACAGCAAGGGCACAAAGGAGAGAAGAGACTTGCTGCATGTCAATAGCTCCGGGAATGCTGGGAAGACCAGACTGTGTCTTAAAAGACAGACCCAGTGCAGAGAGCAGATGTGAAGGGGATTCTAAAAAGGGCAGCCTGAGCCAAAGGTCGAGATGTGAAACAGCATGAGAAGTCACATGGAAAACTAGAACTCAGTTACTGGGGATGGAATGGAGAGACAAAATTAGCTAGATTAAATATAAGACATCACTTCATCAATTTAAATGTGAGGATTTCTTAAAAAAAGAAATAACTTCAAGTTAAAACTAACTTCCATAGGTAACTATATTCACTATCTCACAAACAACTACAATGGAAAAGAAAGAAAAAGAATTAGATATATACACAGAGATATGTATAACCAAATCACTTTACCGCACACCTGTAACTCATACAATCCTGTACATCAACTACATTTGAACTAAAAAACAAACTTCTATAACCAAAAAGAAAAAAGGTGAGGATCAAATTTTCTTTCTTGTTGTTCATAAAATCGGCTATGTGTCCTTCAGAAGAGTCTGAGCACTTTTTTCCATGACCTGACTTTTCCTTCTCTTAATTTGAATTTGAGGTGATTTCTATCATAATTTGTACTATGGAGTTCCTGCTCTCACTTAACCCCACTATTTCTGCTGTGTTTGTATAATCATCTCTCTCATTTTGACACTCATTTATTTTGTCCTTATTAGATGAACCCTTCCCCTTTGTACCCCTGCCCATCTTCATATTCATCCAGCTGTTCTTTCCTGTTGCTCTCTTACTCTTCCTTTTCTTAATGGCATATTTGAGAACTGTTTATTGCCACCAACCTTTACAAATCTCAGTCCTGCACGTGCACCTCTCTTGTTATCACACCGTTTCCTATTGTGATCTTGAGGACTTCCATTCCTGTGTAGGATCCTTTTCATCCCCATGAGAATCAGGGGGACGGTAAGTGAGAAAGCACAGGAAGGAAAAGTTAAAACCAAAACGACTTACCTCTGAAACACCAAGGACTGCTGAAGACGAGAGAGATTCCGGTGCTGGGAAGGGAGGGTGAGAAAAGCCTGAAACTTCAGTCGATGGTTGGGAAAAGTTTCTAACTGCATCTTCATTTTCACTATTAGTATTATTGTCCTCAAAGAAGGTGCTAGTTCCTGGTTTCAAAACACCATCTTTTGCCTCTGCTGTAGTGAAAACAAGGTATGGTAGATGAAATTATCTGTAATTTCTCATCAGTGAAAACACAAAAAGACAGTCTTCAAATAACTTACTGTTTATCACAGGTTCTTCCCAGGCCCGAATTAGCTTGGCGAATCTTGGATGCCGGATTTTCTAGAGAAGAAAATAGCAGCTTTAAGAACAACAAATACGAAACTCAATAAAATAACTGTAACATTCCCCATTCCTAGATGATCTAACACAAAGAGCGCTGGCTTTGGAGTCATTCAGATATGGATCCAAGTCCCGGGTCTGTCATTTATCAACCTACATCTTCTCATGGGGTGAGGATTATGACAGATGACCTCAGGAGTCCCAAAATGTTACTTTCTTTACCTCTCATTGATTATTATACAAACACTATGGTATCCATTAGATGACTTTCTTGACCAAAATGATCTAGAACAAAATCTTATACCTGATAGTTTAGAGTCCTATTGAAAAAACTCACATTAAGAAATTTAAAGTGGTTGTTGTATTCTGAAATGTGCTTGTATGATTTATATGTGTGTGAATGATCCCTCATGGGGGAAATATGAGAGTTTACTTTTTAGCAGTATCTCATTTGGATGAGTTAGAACAGCAAACACTATAAGCTACTTCTATTCCATTCGCCAAAAAGCTAAAGACAAATGGTTGTTCAAAGTCAGTTACTTCTAAGAAAGAGGAATAAAAACAAAAGTAATTCTGAGGGGCAATGACTCATGAGTGAAAGCCACACACATAGTAAACAGAAAGCTGTCACTAAATATGTTCACAGAGGCAGAGTGAGATGGACGGAAAGAGCAGACACCGAGGAAGTGTTTTCTGCAGAGAAATATTAGGTTTGGGGAAAATCATTAAAAAAAAAATGGGGAGGAGGAAGAAAAGAAAAAATGAGACATGACTAGTCAAGTAGAAACTTAAGGCGAGAAAAAAAGGAAAATGTAAGTATAACAAGGCATGTGGAGAAATATATGTATTTCAGCATTTATATATAATAGGTCAGGGATGTATCAGTATTGCTAGGGATATACGATGAGTGAAAGCCTGTGTTTTACCTTTTTATTATATATATAAAAGTATATAAATTATATATGCAAGTATATATATTATTCAGCAAATTTTATAAAAATATCAAAATAAATGATATATAAAACAAAGGCCTTTGTTCATAGTATATCCCCAATGATACTGACTTGTATTACTCCACAACTGTTTGTTTGTAAATACTACTATAAGTAAGAGTTAAATTTTGTAACTGTAAGTCACTCAATTGAACATGGTCATCTCTCACTACCTGAATGCTGCAAATTACTACTAGAGAGAGAGAAAAACAGACTTTAGAAAGTTCCTAACACATCAGCTTTCCACCTAGACAAAGAACTGGTAATCAGGATTCTAAGGATAATAGATAGCTTGAAAAGATATATTTAATGGAACATGAGAGGGGGCTAAAAGAAGGTTAAAAAGTTTTCATCTCAAATTCTAAGCTCACAGTCGGATACTGAAAAACAGACTGTAACCTTTTCCTATTTATCATATACTTCTTATCTACTTCCTCGGCATTTATGACATATTTCCTCTCATAACAACTGAACTTTTCACAGCCTAAACAAAGGGAATAGAAATTTAAGTCGTATTTTTAGAATTCAAATAGATTTCACTATGACATAGTACGCATATTATATTACCTGTATCATCAAATACATTTCATTATGACAGAGTGTGCATGTTGTATTACCTGCAGCATGATGCAGAATTCCAGGTCTCTTCATGCATTCACATTCATAAAACACTAAAATGCTTCTTACATTTAAGACCTTATTCTAGGTGCTCCAGGAAACGCACAATTACGTTCCCTAATCTCTAGCGGTGTATAATGATGCAGGGGCTATAAGATGAATATGTAAATAACTATACTACAAAATGTCTGAAACTTGAAATTTTAGAATGGGACACGAGGACTGGACATACTTTTAAAAACTGTAATACGAAAGAATTCTGAAATAGGTTTCATCATATGGTTGTTATTAAGAGTCTACTTTTAAAGCTGGCTGTTATTTTAGGGAAAACATGTATTCTTCAGTTACATGCAGAGTTTTGAATATATTCATAATGGGATAATTTAGAAAACACAGAGGAATCTCTTTACAATACGGATTTTGA